ACCAGCAACGATTGGTGGTGCTGGAGCTTCTTGTTGCTGCTGCTGTCCCTGTCTTGTTAAAACCATCTTGTTGGGGAATCGACGTTGTTCTTTTTGCGGATCGATGTTGTGGAGGAATCGACGTTGTTCTTTTTGTGGTGCTGTCGGAATCGATGCCGGAAACTACACGTGATTTGCTGCATGCAAATCGATGCCGGTAACAACACGCGTTTCGCTGCATTCCAACCAGTTCCTCCCCCGGGGAAGGGGGGGGGGGGGTTCTCAGGGTTCTCAACTTTTAATTCCTGTTGACATGATTCCTCCAGAAGAGGTTCTTCCATGGTATCGATGCCCTTTTAGTGAGGATGCTAGCTAGTAGATAAGAATTCCGACCAGCACTTCAGATTTTGTATAGTGAGCCTTTGGATTTGTTTTGGCGGGCTCCCCTGGCTCTTTCTGACACTTTAGATTTGTTTTGGCGCGCTCGCTGGCACCATGTGTTCTCAATATTTGGCGAGAATTCAGTTATTTTTCTGTTAATTTGAAGCAAAATTCCATATTCCTAAATTAAGCACATGTAGTGTGCCATAATTCATTATCTATGATTCTATGCCTTTACATACTTATTCCCGTAGAGTCATAGACTCGATTTATGTCAGCATAGATTCTATGTTTACGGGAATGACCCAATGACTACTTTGACTAAAAATTATATACGTACGTACAGTAATCGAATTTTTGAATCCTACCAAAATAGTTTTGCTCGCATGTGCAAAATAGTTTAGCTCGCATGTGCACAATGTAGCCCTGGTACAAGTCAAATTTTAATCCCACAAGTCATTACACGGTAATTAGATGGCAGCTAATCCACGCATATGTATAATTTAACCGTATAACTGTTTTAGTCCCGAACTGACAGTTTGGGCAATAACTTTTTTCCCAATGGACGCTTAAGTATGATAAGCACATGGTTAAAAAGAGAATTCAAAGAGCTTTCGAATGCGGTGGGGGAGTACGGCATCCGACGAATATTGACTGATATTCGTTTATGTATATCTTGAATTGCTAATGTACGGTTTAAACTGTCTTTTTTTGCTTGGCCCACGCATACGATACTACTATTAAAATAAATAGATTCTCAAATACGTAATATCTACTACTACCTACTATTGATTTCCAATTTTATTCTAGATCCTCACCTGATGAACCCTGGTGCTGGTGGTGAATCACCTAAACCATGCTCAAGCAGAGAAGCTATAAGTGCTGGATCAATGTAGCTATTCTGCTTTTTCCTTTTTGGTTTATTACTACCTCTAGTACTACTACTAGTAGTATTGCTACTGCTACATCTCTTGAATTACTGCTCTCCCTCATGTACCTCTCTCTCATCTTTGTCTCTAACTCCTTCGTCCCTGTAGTAGTGGGATCCTTGTGTAGTACTAGCTTTGCTACTTTCTCACATAATTCATTGAATAAGTCCTTTCCTTTGTCCATCCAACTATCCCTATTGCCACTCTCAGCATTGCAATACCTTTTCTTCCTGTGGCAGATCTCAGGATTTATCTTCCTCTGCTTTTGGTTCTCCTCCTAAACATGGTGTTCATTGAAGATCAATACTAAAGCAAATGCCTCATTGGTGACTAAAAGATCTCACTGTGCAAATCTTTGTTTTTCCTTTGCTTGAAATTACTTTTTGCTGGATTGATGTCAGGCAAGAAGATTCTGGTCACAAAATAATAGAATTCTTCATTCCTTGTATCCCTGTATTTCCTATAGTCAGGATTAATGCYCCCCCAGCCACTGTAGTGGTCTGGGTGTTCAACCACTCCAACAGTACCTGGGAAGGAGACTGGTGCTCTGTTCTTATCATAGTAATTAGCTATGTTCAGATAACAAATCATATGAAGTAACAACATACTTGTGATAGTGCAGAAAATAATAGTAGTGTACTACAAAGGCAACCAAAAGCAACTTTTTATCAAGCCAAGCCAAGGTTTGTGAATTATGTTGCAACATGCCAAGTAGTACTATGACTACCTTTTCCTTGAAAAATTCACAGAAAGCTGGTGGTGTGATATCTTTTGAAATGTTGACCCTCTCCATATCCACTGCCTTCTTCATAATGTGAGCGGTAACTCTATTATTGACAGGGAACTTCACCTTGTTGTACCTGTACTTTTTTACAAAACTTTTCAGTTGCCCTTCCACCATGTCAAGCATATTGTTCAAAACTTTAATGTCTCTTTTTGAAAGGATGGTAGACTTGTTGCCACTAAGAAGATAACTTACTTTTTAAGGTTCTTCTTTGTTGTATTAGGTCAACTCTTCTAGTGCTTGTGACTTCTGTTGTTTTTGTGGTCCACTCTGCTGCTCCTGTTTTACAATCTGCTCCTTCATTATTTACTGCATCATCTGAAGCATCATTTGTTGGATGGGAAGAGCAGCTGGAATAACATCACTGTTATTGTTGACATAATTGTTAGTTGGCCTAGCAGGTAATGAAAGTTTCATTCAATGCTAGGCAACTACTTGTCCCAATAGGTTTCTGCATACTAAGTTCTTCTCCATCAACAATGAAAGTTCTACCACCCAGACAATTGTCCTCTCCTCATACTGTAGAAAGTGTATTATGGTGTAAATGAGAGGTCAAATTGTCTTTAAGGCAGTCAACATGATCAAATTACTGGTAGGACATTCCATTCTATTTAACACCTTTGATTCTGAATTCACATTACATTACAAGAACTTCAATTTCTATGATCTTGATTTATTACAGGGATTTTGATTTCTATTTTTAGTGAATAGATGGCAAAGACATGTGGACAACTCAGGAGACGAGGAGGAAGCTAGTAGAGGTCCTGGTTGATTCTCCTCAGCTTTCCCTACTACTAACATGTACTGCATTCCGAGCACTCTCCTGCTGCACAGTTAAAACACATGCAATGTTAGACTCACTATCAATGCCAAGCTAGCATGTCAAAGAAGCAGCTGATTCTTCACCATAATAACAACAGTACTACATGAAAATGATAACTGTGAAAACAATAACAACTTCAGGTATGGTGTTTTTCTGGTTGATTTGAGCCTACTAGTAGTTGAATTGGTACTGCTGTATTTCCCTCTTCAAACAGCATTATGAAGTTGGTGCCTTCACTACTACAGCCATTGATATTATTCCACTGATAATACTAGATCATCTTCCTGTAAAAACAAGAATTGTACCCTACTAGCTCTCCGGGCTCAGGAGGAAACAATAAAGAAATCATTCAATAGTGCTTATCATGAGGCCTGCAGACACTAATTTAGTAGTGCCAGCTAGGTAACACAGAGAGGAAGTACTAACAATAGCAGATGGTGTTTTGGTAGTCAGTCCCAAACAGTTGTTTGTATGCTTGCCAGCGTCATTGCTCAGTGGACACTTTTTCGAACAGCCTCACAGGCCCTTTTTGGATAGTTTTTCCAAAATAGAGATATAGTTTGATACGTAGATAGACACTCAGATTGTTTTCGAGGGAAATCTAGCACTTATCAGTAGAATCATTTGTAGTGGACAGACAATATACGTTTCAGATCAGTTGAGTACCACAGTCATAACTCAATTATTTTTACAGTGCTCCAAGCACGAGTAATACCAGCCCTGCCGTTGTTTTTATTCTTCTAAAACGAAATGGGACACAAGGTCCATCATGAATCCAGCCTCGTATCTATTCCCCCAGCATTTTCCAAACTAAATAGCTCTGCAGAACGTTGTAGATTCTGTACCACATTTTTGAATATCAATTTGAATTTCACTACTTCAAATACCCAGTTGTTACCTGATTCAATTGATCTGAAACGCATAGTAACTCCAATATGTTGGATAGATTTGACTTTACGACATGAGTGTAGCAAACAAGTTATTTCCAGTTTCTGTACCTTCGCTGACCGGTGCATCACCTTCGATTTCTTTCTTGACGTCTCCACTTTTTGAGACCTCGTTTGAAACGCCTCTTGTTTTCGTAAGAAAGTGAGCTTCTTCATTATTCTCTTTCTTAGCACTCTGCCTTGATTTTTTTGCGTTTGATGACTCTTTAGATCCGTCGACAGCAGTTTCTCTCCTTTCGACGTCATCAATGGTTGCGGCAAGAAACCCAGTGTTGTCTTTCTCATTACGATCTCCTATCAATGCCTTCATTTGTTGCACCACAGCTTCGAGTTGCTCTTCACATTGACCTCTTACCTTGACGATCAATGTTTTCTTATCAATGTCAATCTTACATTCGAAGTCCTCTTCTAAAGAACGAGCGACCTCTCCCCTTTGCCCAAGAATTGCGCCAATGTCATTTCCTCGTTCTAATGTGAGTGTTACAATTTGCGCTGATTCTGATTCAACTCGGAAGGCGTCACGATCATTTTGTATCAATTCCTTCATTTTTTCCACCGCGGCTTCTCGTTTCTCTCCATGTTGACCTCTTACCGTAACGATCAACGTTTTCTTATCTATTTGGATCTTACAGTCAAAGTCTTGTTCAAGAGAACGAGCAGTTACTCCTTTCTGCCCAAGAATCGTGGCAATGTCCTTTCCTCGTTGCAACGTTAATGTTGTAATTAGCGCTGGATTGGATTCATCTCGTAAGGCTAACCATTTGTCGATCGCCTCTTTCGCCTCTCTCACTCTTGATTCTTCTCCTACGATAACAAAATTGTGATCAGCTGTTCTAACTTGTCGAATCTCCACGCCATATTTTGTAGCCAGTCCTTTCACATGCGATCCACCCTTTCCAAAAAAGGGAGGCAATTCTTCGTCTGGTATACACAAGAGAACACTTTCCTTTCGAGCCTTTTCAAAGGAAGCGACGACATCCTCGCGACATTCTTGAAGAACCTCTGGAGAGTCACCAAGTATCGTTATTGTTTGCGACTTGATCGAAAAATCGATCTTACAAGTTGGATGATTGGATCTGAGGACGGAAATGATACCGCCTTTCTTACCAATACTCATCTGAAGTATAGAGGAATCTAGGATTTCAAGTTCAAAAACGTACGTAAGTCGTTCAGCTTCTTTGATTTTGACATTCATCAGTTCTGTAGCCTTTTCCACTTTTGATTCATCAGAGGATCTGATCACAATTATACCAAGGTCTCGATCTAGATAGATAGATACACCACTGATTTCAGCGGAAATTGTGCTAAGCACAGAAGCTGAATCTATAGACTCATACAGAGGCTTCGCAATCTTCAATCGATTTAGTTGATTCGGCAGAACAAAATCCAGGAATCCGTACATTTGGTTCTTCGTCCTTTCGACATCACTGCGCTTACCCCTGATAAGTATGGATTGTGTCTCTGCATCAATTTCGACCTTCGTCCCAAAAGTCTTTTCCATTCGTTCGAAGTGGGAGGGATCACGTGTGGCATTATTGACCCTAGAAAATTGCAAGGCATCGACTTCAATCGATGCCGTGTATACGCCCGTCAACATTTCGTTAAGTAGGGATACAGCATCACGAACATTTTGGAATCTGCCCCTTACTACAACCTCGTCTTCTTTGGTTGTCATCGTCACACCTATTTCTTGGCATATTTTCTTCGTGTACCCTTTCATTTTCAAGGTGGACATTTGTTCCTCACTCATAGGTACACTTTGCATAATTTGTGCGGACGCGACAATTTTCTCTATCTCCACCCTACAACCTGCTACATCATCGTTAAGACCTCTGATGGTCAAAACATTTGATGACTTTGAAACGTCAATCGTCAAGCCATCATATTTTTGAAGAAGCTGATTCAGGTTCTTTCCTCCTTTTCCGATAACTGAACCAATAATTTTTTTGTTGATTTCAAGTCTCGCCAAACAATAATCGCCACCGCCTTTAAGGTATTGGTCCAATTTTTTTGTAGCTTCGTCTATTTTGCCTTGCTCTCCGCGCAACACTACACAAAATTTTGCTCGATTGAAATGAAGTTTGACACCCATTTCATTGGAGAGTTGTGCAAGCTTGTTATTCTTTCCACCAGAGAGAAGTGCTGTCCGTTCTTCATCTGTTATCGGGACTTCTCTAATTTTATTATGAAGAATGTAATCATCAATCACAGTCTTCGTTTTCTCGACATCTTGCTTACTGCCACGGAGAATAAAACAAGATTCAGAATAATCAGCATCCAACGAACATATATCCATCTCTCTTTTAAATTCTGGTCGCGTGAGTTCCAGAAAATATTGCTTCATTGAGGCTGGCTCTGCGTGTACTCGTAAGATTGAATTTTTTTCAATGATTTCATTTAGCTCCTTTCTCAAATTAGTCAAAACTTCTTCAGAAGTCGCAGCACACCAAACTTCATTGGAACTTGCTTCCACTTGCACATAAGCGGGCTTTCCTTCAATCAATTGTTTGATTGTTTTTCCTTTTTTCCCGATAATTCTGGGGATCGCACAAGGATCGACTGAGAATTTAACAACGAGGTCATCGAATACCTTCAACTCATTGCGTACAAGTTGAAGTGCTTCAGAAATCACTGCTTTCTTCGCTTCAAGTCGAAGTTCCGGATTGATCGGCTTGTTATTTACTAAGAGCATCCACTTTCCCCCAGGGAAACGTTTGGCGAGCCTTTTCTTAATTTTCTTTAAACAACGACCTGACTGTCCAACAAGTAACTCTGCCATTATTCTAGTGATACCAATAGTTTCACACGCATCTCCGTTGTCATGAATTAGTTTCTCAGCATCGTTTAACGCGGCCTCAACCATATCGTGGGGCCCTGTGAAAATGATATCAACCATTTTGCTCCTGTCCAAGTTGTTGTTGTTTTTGCTATTGTCGATTTCGATGTCAATCGAGTAATCCGAACACAATCTATCCATTGTGATACCCTTCTCGCCTAAAATAGTACCGATTTCTTTTCCAATACACTGTCGTTTCTCAGTTGTTAGATCCAAACCAAATATCTTGCCCTCAATCTCCGCCAAATCCTTTGGATCTCCATGAAGCAGCAGCTTCCCGTCTTTTCGATAGAGTTCTAGCCATGTATCCGGGTATTCGGTTTGTAATTTTTCAAAGACGTTGACGTACTTCGCCGTCAAGTACCTCACGAGTCTCCGTTCGATGGTAATGGTTTTTTCCTCTCTTCGCATTATTCGTTCGATCTCCATAATGGCTCGTTCTATAGCTTCTTTACTCCCAGCGATTGTTATCTTTTCCTTCGTTTTGTCAAGTTTCAAGAAAACTTTGCAGGTATCCTGTATTCTCTTGAAGCTGGATCCATTCTTTCCAATAACCGTTCCTATTTTGTCACTTGGACAATCGATATCCTTCTCTTCTACTTCATCCGTACCACAATCTAATTTGTTAGCTAGCTTAATTTTTTCGAGGGCCGTCTGAATCTCATCCGTTCCGGTACGAGTTGTCTTGAGTTCTTCGCGTAGATTGTCGAGTTCTCTCTATCCAAAGGTAAATGAAACAATATTCAATTGGTTTAGACGAAAGAGAATACAGGCGAAAGCGCAAAAAATCATATAGGAAATTCTTCAGTTTTCATACTACCAAACATCGAATCGTTCAAGCCACAGAAAGAGTACATCGAAGATCTTACCTTCATCGATTGGATTTCCTCGTTCGTTTTGTTGTACTCCTCAACTTTTCGCTTCGTCTTGGTTAAGCTTGCCATCTCGCTCAGGATTTTCTTTTCCTCTGCAAGCGGAATACTTGTGATGGTTCGCGCGCGTTCCAGGGAGCTGGTGTTGACCATGGAATGACGAGGCAAAAGAAATGTGAGAGCGCGAAACAATAACGTGGCAAAATCTATGTTCCCAACATTGTGCAATAACCACACGTGCCACACTTCATTCACTTACTTGATCCTGTCGTCAAGCTCCCTGACGGTTTCTCGAGGTCGCTTCGGAATTGCTGTGTAGCTGTTGGTCAAACTCGTTTCAAGCTCTTGGATTTTCGCCTGTAATGAGTTTTTATCAAAATCGAGGCAAGTCGACATCAGCAAGTTGAGAATCTCTCCGTCATCGAAGACAAGCACGACCATCATCACAAGCATAGCGCCGTAGTTACGGGTACGAAACTCACCAATTGCTTTGTCTTCAAGGCATTCGACTCGTCGAGTCTGCTCTGAAGAATTTGCTGGAGCATCGCTGTCATCTTGTTTCTCGGTATCTCAATTCGTGGAAATGGTCTATGCGATGGCAATCTTTTTTGCTGACTTTGTTGGGGCCGAGGCTCAATTTCTGGTATCGGTGGCTAGTCGAAAGAGCTTGTACATTTTGTGGCACAATTACAAGAAGACTTGACTGAACAAGCCCTCGTAGCATTTACGATTACAGTACCAGTTAGGTTATGTACGACTGCCGTACTCGTACTCGTACAGAGGATCTTTCTTCGCAAACAGGTATCGTACGCATCCCACCCAATCGTTGTCGTACAGAACAGTAGAGATTCCAACGAAAAGTTCTTGCCGGGAGGGCGGGGTGCGGGGTCATTGTGAATTTTTTTATTCATTTACTGTACAAGGGAAAGCGCTACGCCTCAAAAACTCATTTTCCATCATCCGTAATCTACTGTACTTCGTCTACTTTGCTATCATCCCAAGTACGTACGGTGCGAGTCACAAATAAACTAGAACCTTACCGTAGGTGCAGTCAGGGTAAATTATGACCCCCTGGTGCAGTAACGCGCGGCACCAGTACGTACTCTACCATAGTCCGTCCTGTACCTCGTATCGTATTGTACAATTGTAGCGTACAATACGACATCTGCGTCAGATAGGTTTTGACGGATAGCGTACGATTACGAACTGCACTTTTTGAAGGGAACTTTTTCGTTACGCTGTACGTACCATGTGGTACGTACTCCTCCTGTGCGTTAAAAAGAACGTATCGTACCGTCACATACTGAAAAAAACGATCTGCCATGGGCAGCTCAGTTACGCATTCACACTTTTCACTACCGATAGGCCCACATTTCGTCGACTACAATACCGGCAAAGCAGGGACCATGTCGTCGCTTGCCGTTGCTAAGAGCGACTTGCTCAACTTGTACAAGAAGCTTTTGAGAGGTTGTCAAAAATATCCATCGAAAAATCGGGACAAAATATTGCAGTCCGTGAGGGAAGAATTCCGAGAGAACATGACTTTGGATCCTTCTTGTGAGTGCAGGTAGATCTGTTACTGTATCTTGCAATAATCGTTGAAGTATTTGGTTGGCATCCTGACACGACTTACTCACTTTAGAACTTTTTCTCTTGTTCTTTTTTTTGAAAAGCCGAAAAGGCGAAGGAACAAATCCATGTTGCTTTTAAAGGACTGAGTCAACTTCACCAGTTCGACAACAGGAGTTCCGCGAGTTTTTCGGTCAGCCTAGAACAGAATCCTTTTCCCAAACCCGATGGATATGTAGACAAGAGGACAATAGCCGTAGATAAAGTGTTGGAAGAAAATTCGGGGAAGCAATAGATTGTAATTTTGAAAACTGTATCGTAGTTCTAATAATCCATAAAGAAAGGTAGATGAAATTTTGAATACCTACATTACTAAACCGTGAATAGCGTGTTGACTTGTTCGGGTGTGTGTCCCAAAAAGCTCGTGTCATCATAACCCCCCGTCTCCGGTTTCAACATGGCATCGTACATAGATGCGTACCTCTCGCAGACACGTTTGGCAATCTTGTTTCTCGCCAGTTTTCGCAAGGTCGGATCTTTGATTGTGTTCTCGAAGGAAGGAATAGGTGGTGAGTACAACGAAGAGAAAAATTCTTTCATGGCTATTTCTGCCTCATCTGGCGTCAAACCAGGAAAGCTTGCCATGGTCATTCCCTCCACTTGTACGGCCTTGTAACGATCCCATGCCACAACAAGCCTGCCGAGCCCACAAAAGTCTAGCACTTCAGTCGTTTCTTTCCCAACCAGATCATCGATGAGTGTCCCTTCTTTCTCGCTGAGTCTCTGTTCCAAGGACGTTGCCACAGAAGCCGTCAAATTTCCTTGACTCGCCACGGAGATCGACTGTTTCAGTGTCACCGTGTCGTCGAGGGTTTTACACGCAGGCAGCGCTGCTTCAATGAGAATATTGCAAGGCCAATCTAGCGATAATATTTGGCGGTACATTTTCGGACAATCGACATCAGTAGCAAATCCAGGCGACTCCTTTCTGGCTTCTACAATGCGTACAATCATAATGTGTGCCAATGACGACTCTGAGTCTCCTGTCAAAAGTTGAAGTTGCTCCAGCATCGACGCATAAACGCGGAGGGAAGCCTCGTAAGCATTCGTGGCTTCTCCAAGACAGTGCAGAATGACGTCGATAATTGGATTTTCTCCAGCTTCGACAAGTGTCTTACTTCCTCTTGCAGCGCCTTCATCACTAGAACTCAATTTGGCCATCGATTTGTTAACGGCTGCTGCGTAAAATAGAAGAAGGCCACAGATGTCGTAGAGCTGAGATAAGTTAGACCTTATGAAAGCCCCCTCCTCGTCCAAATTGTCCATTCCATCGTCAGATTCTACGTCATCGTCGTCGCCTGGATGACGTGCTAGATTCGAGATCACCTGTAGAATGCGAGACTTTAAAGGTCTCGAAATTCCACCCATGCTCAAGGCCAGCATTTCAGTTCTCGTGAGTGGCTTTTCTACCAAAAAGTCCGTGTCATCTTCGGTGGAAACATTGTTGTCTATTTTAGCATCCTTCACTCTCATTCCTTCTTCTCCACTTTCTTCTTCCAAACTGTAGAGACCTCTAGCAACATCGGCTTCCACTGAGAAGGCACGGAAGCAAAATGCAAGCATGTCTCCGACGTAGACCACAGAATCGTGTGCTCTCATTTCAATAGGTGGTAGCCCATTGTGTCCACTTGTCAGGGCCAATAAGAACCTCCTTGTTTCTTCCGACCGTCGCGACTGTGCAATCAACTCCAAAAGGTGCGAGTAGAATGCGGGAACATTTTGTAGTACTCGAAGGGATCGTCGTACAAACGGATGCGCTAGAACTTCATCCAATCGATCACCATCATGTTGCTCCAAGCCAGGATTATGTTGTTCGTGAGAATGTAGGTGAAGATACTTTTGCAACCAATGATAGAGGCGTTCGTATGCGCGTTCTTGCTTTTGAGCCAATGTTTCCATCATTCGAAGAGCAGAAGACGCACCCAAGCGATTATCGTCTGCAAAAGATGTACTGAAGGAGGGTATTTCCGACAACCCATGCGATTGTTTTTGATGGTGGAGCATGTCCAGAGACCCCACCGTTTGACCAAGCTCTTTCCGAATCACCAGGACTCGCTCCAGTGCATTCAAAAACGCTATACCGTTCACGTTAGAGGTTTCAACATCTTCAAACGCGTAGTGTTCAAGCAGGCGAGAATCTTCTTCCGAAAGGTCGAATCGCTCCAAAAACTCATGAACTGCTTCTACCCTCTTGCGTGCAATGTTCCTTCGCGTGAAGCAATTGTTCAGGACAAATGCCAGTCTTTGCTCTTCTTCCAAGGCGGAGTCATCAGAATTTCGGCCACTCGTGGAAAAACCATTACCAGAGAGTGCATTGCTGTCTTTGTGATCATCGTTGGAAGTTATGGCTCCAGAAATACCGCCAACCCCTTGTTTGTCTCCGTTGATTAGACCACTGACGCCGCTGCCACTTTTCGTGACTACATTCGAATGAATAACTTCATCGACACGGTGCGCAATGGCCGCAGTTTCGGCCACTCCCTGCCCAAGTTTCGTCACGGTTTGAAGCAAGGATCGCAGTTCATCTTGTAGCAACAGGGCTTGTTGCAGGGCATCTTGTTCGATTGCTACCCGAACGGATCGAGAATCTACGGTGAACAAATCATCTTGATGGTCCGGAAGGTGGGTCAGGGCATCTAATGCAGCTTTCATTGCGGGGGTATCGCTTCGAACCTCCAAGGCCCGAAAAACCTTGGAAGAGAGAATATTGCTCTGATCACCACCGCGGCTAGAACTAGCCATTTGTGTGGATTCGGAAGACATCTTCGTGCTGGTTGCTGCGGTAAATGAAAGTCGCCAAGAATAAATAATCAATGACGGGGAAGGTCGAATCTCGAGGTGGCGTTTTTTCTCTCAAACAATAATTAAGTTGATTGCAAGTCGATCGTAGGCCGTCTTTGCTCTCACAAGCAATCCTTTTGTTCCTTTTTGTGATCCCAAGATGATGTCGGTGATGCTATTGGATCGATGGGAATAGCTGCTGTTGCGAACTATCGGGACGATGAAGACTCGTAGTCGAAAATATTGGGACAGAGGACTGGTACGACCCGTACAGTGAAGTACGTCGAACCCTTACGAGTACGAGAGCAGTTGACGAGAAATGTCTCCAAACTAAAAAAACCTCAACGAAAACATTTCCTGATCTTTTTTGTACCTAGTAGTCTTACTACTACCGGTACGAATATGGGAACAATGGATCCACCACTAATCCCGTGTATGCGAACGCTTGTTCGCATTCTTAATTTAGCTTTGGCAACACTAATTTAGTGTTGGCATCATTAGCGAGGTAGGCCTAGTAGGTAGAATTTGTGCTAATAGGAGTAGCCCTGGTGGACGCATGCCGGCAGGCCCAGCAGCTCCTGATCCAGCTATCCCCAGGCCTCCATACTGACCCAAATGGGGACTGATTGAGTACAAGATCCTAAATGTGGTGGTCAGTGCTGTCTCTAGGAATGCAATGAGGGAATAGACCATGAGCACCCTTGAGCAGGAAATCTAGTATAATATGGTTGCTAGTAGCTAGATCTATCAGAGGTGTTGACAATACCTTTGCTCATTTTGGATATACCATGGATGGCATCTATGATCTATGATTAGGAAACATCAATCAGCAACAACATCACCATAATGGTCTCCAGGAAGAGATCCTGTTTCAGAGTTCAGTAGCTGCAATGGACTGGAACAACCCCCTGGAGACTGGCTTGCTGGCACGTTGACTCCTCCTGGGCCTATCAAAATTGAATCCCACTGCAGACAATTGGAATCCAGTCCCCTGGAGGAGCTTACCTTGTAACTTCTTCCTTGGATACTCAATCAGTCTGGAGGAATTGAATGGATCTGAATAGATTGAATCAATCAACCAGATTTACTTAGATGAACTTATTACATACATTACATATTTACAAGTCGGAATAATAGCTACTAGAAAGAGTAGATGCAATAGACTTGAGCTATTCCCCCAGAGCTAGCTGGCCAACTCCGCAACTCCTCCTGGGGCTATACTAGTTTTCCAATAAACTGCAGCGCGTCTGGAATTGGTCTCTATACTATTACAAAAGTAGTACTACCTCAACAAGGCACATGGCATTAAACAGCAATCACAGCCGAGGGATTGTAACGACACGTCGCATAAAACTGAGGTTCTCCGTCATACCGACTTTTCACACCGCAGAGCACTGTAGAGTCACGATTTTTTGTGGTTCAAAGTCCGCGAAGACATTTTGAAGGCATTCACCATGGAAGGATTCGAAGGAAGATAGGGAATATTGGGCAAATCACGAGTCCAAAAACGTCGGCTTGAAAAGTTTGTGCAACAACGGCCTTTGGTCAGAAAAATTAGTAGATTCAAAAACAGGAGATTCGTTGTTTAGATTCTGACTATTCAGGATAGCGTCCCTGTCTGACGTAGCATTTCTGAAGACAATAGGTTCTGAACGATCACTTTACCTAGTTACAATAGCGGTCAAACCCCATATTTTTTTCCCGTTCAGCGCATGGAAAACAGGAGCACTGTTCTGGAATCTTTTGGACCACTCCGAAGTTTCCACCTCGAGCAGCTCTTCCAGGCTCACGCAAAAGACGTCCTCGACTTCGCTCGGGCAGCCGGGGAACGTGTCAGGATCTATGTCGTGTGGGAGGACCGCTATAACTGGTGTTACCGGCATCCCACTCGGTGATGGTAGCGGGGAAGCCCTCCCAATAATTTCCACTTGTTCCCACGGATATTTTCCCAGAAGTTCTTCTTGGGCTTCTCGGATTGCTGTCGCTTCCAATGAAACATCGTTCATTTTGTCGCGATGTCCTCCCGGAAACGCCACTTCCGAAGCATGTGTAGGCAAGCGACTGGATCTCGTTGTGAATAGGAGTGATATCGTGCCTTCGCAACTTACTAGGGGCACCAATATAGCAGCCTCGCGTTCTCGATTCATAGGAGTGCGTTTCCACATCATGGTTTCTGTTTTCGGGGGGAAAAGAGGAAAGTCATGGTTCTCGTTTGCCACGCTGCGCAACAACGATCTCAAACGCGGTATGCCCTTTTTAAGAGATGACATCTCAAACGACCTTCAGAGTGTACCTACGGAAAGCAAGGGGTGATTGCCGCTTGAACGGCATCATTCGATGGGTATTTTTTTGTTTTTGTCAAAAAGAAGAAAATAACTGTGGAGGTATGCTTCATCGTGGTTCATTGTATTTATCCGTTACCACCAGTAGTATGGTACCGTGGGGGTTTACAGTAGTAGGGGGGCTTACTTGAGAACTGAGGAATGTGTTCCAGGAAATAATAAAAATTGAAAATACTTCGTCCCTACGAGTTCGAACACCGTACTGTACTGTACTGTACTCGTACGTACGAAACAAATACCGTTCTTGGAGGGTACATACGTATTTACTGTACTAGGAGTATGTCTTTACCATACCACCGACTACAGTTTCTTAAACACGTTCTTTTTCTTTCGATTTTTCTTCGACGCCACGAGATAGTGGAATATGATTGGTTTGTTGGATTGATAAAATAACTGGCGCGCCATCAGTTTCTGAGGGTATCGTACGGTACTGCAAGTAAAAGGTTCTGTACGTACGGGTACCGTATGGTACCAACAGTATCCTACAACATTACTATTAGGGCTTCACATCAAACGTACAAAGTACGGTCGGTAGTCATTGTTTATGGTTTGGCTTAGAGGCCACGTAGTTTGTTCCTAGCATCTGTACGTACAGGACTTTTAGTCGTATCAGTGCGTTCAACAACTGGTAACGTGCTCTGTTGATAACGTGCGAGTTGCGACAATTAACAGCCGCTCAGCTCTGCTCAGCTGGGCTTCTCCGGAGTATCGTAGATACACGTTCCAATGTTTTTCAAAATTTGAAGAAAAAGTATTCTTGCTTCCAGTAGTTCGCACTCGTTCACGTACCATTTTTACGGGACGCCGTACATAAATATACAGTAATATATTACAGCACCTGACGCCACCGACATCAACAACCGCATCGGATAATTAGGTAGGACAAGAACTACAACCTTCATCCATACGGTCTCTTTCATCTTATACGATACAACAAAGAAAAGCACAATGATTTTTCGTTGTTCGAAGGAGTTAGTTTCATCGTCAGCGAAACACTTCTGTCATGTCTCAACAAAGATGGGGTACGCACGGAAAGGAGCAGGCCTTCCATCGGTGGCATCGGTGGCATCGGTGGCATCATTGTCAGCATTGACAATGGAATCATCTTTACTGCCGTTTCATAAAAGCACCACCCAATCGCGGTGTTTTTCTTCCTCCCCTGCCATTGTCGAAGGAGACTCTGACTCTGACGATGATGATGAAAGATACATGTATGAAATCAATAACAATCCCGGCAACAACCAAGCTTTGGGTGATCTTATCCGCCGTGGAAAATCCGGAACACCATCACCGTGGGCAGTCTTCGATGCATGGGGTGCCGGAAATGACGTCGGTGAAAACCATCACGGACAAATGTCGTCGGATGAGAACTTTCTCCTTTCTGACGAATCCGTGAGAATACCAGAGCGCAATGAATGCCAGGACACAAACAACGAGATTGCCTCCGAGACCGATATCCTCAAGGCCTACGACAAGTTTTTGCAACAACGATCCTCCGTGCACTTTGGTTATCCTTACAACCTCATGTACGATCACTCAGAATTGTTTGAGTTTATGAAGTATTCCATCAACAACCTCGGAGATCCTTACGTGACATCCAATTACAGCGTCCATTCTCGACAATTTGAACGTGCTGTCATTGACTTTTTTGCTCGCCTCTGGAAAGCCGACAAAGATTCATATTGGGGTTACGTGACCACCAGTGGTACAGAAGGGAATCTACACGGGATTTTGGTAGCACGGGAATGCCACCCAGATGGGATCCTATACACCTCAAACGAGACGCATTATAGCATCTTCAAGGCAGCCAGGTATTATCGAATGGACTGCCGATCCATCCCGACACTGCCAATGGGGGAAATAAATTATGATTTGTTGGAGAAAGAACTCTCAGAAAACCGGGACAAACCTGCCATTATCAATGTTAACATTGGGACAACAGTTAAGGGGGCGGTCGACAATCTCGATCGGGTCCTTGATATTTTGAATCGACTCGAGATTCCACGCGAAAGATTCCACATTCATTGTGACGGAGCCCTCTTTGCACTCATGATGCCCTTTATCGACGATGCCGCCTCGGTTTCTTTCCAAAAACCCATTGACTCGATTGCCGTGAGCGGCCACAAAATGCTCGGCTGTCCGATGCCATGTGGAGTGACACTGAGTCGAAAGGAAAACGTGAAAAAGGTAGAGGATCACATCGAATACTTAAATAGTGTCGACACAACAATCATGGGATCAAGGAATGGACAGGCCGCACTATACATGTGGTACAGTCTTCGAAAGAAGGGATTGGAAGGAATCCAGAAAGATGTGGAGTGAGTAATACTGATTTGTGGTGGGTTCCGCCTGGGCTTTCGTTTGTTCCGTTTCGAAATGCTAACTCTATTTTCTACGACTATTGTGTACAACTTTTTTGTACCGATGCAGGCATTGCATAGAAACAGCCAAGTATTTGAGAGATACACTATCCCAGGCAGGAGTTTCTTGCCGTCTCAATGACTTGAGCTCAACTGTCGTCTTGGAACGCCCCGTGGACGATTCTTTTATCAAGCGATGGCAGCTCGCATGCGAGGAGGACATCGCCCACGTAGTGGTCATGCCCAACGTCACGCGAAACAAGATTGACCTTTTCGTACACGAACTTCTTAATAGTTTCCAAACCCATGGTCGCATCAAACTGGCACATCCGAATTCGCCATTAAAACTTCTAGAGAGCGATGCCTGGGATATAGCGATGTAATGCTGCAACATTTTGCTACTTCGATCCGCCCTTTTTTCTGAAAGAAATGCGACACACCAAACAGCAGTGCTATTTGCAGTTAGACTTTAACTGTAACCGCCATTGGTTCGGCGCTAAACTAAAATAATTTGTATGTCTTCTCTGTTATTGCGCGTCGATCGTACTAGATTAAAAAATGTTGATGATTCGACAGTACCTGCAGAAAGGATACCATACTTCACACGTGGCAATAATGTTTTTGTTTTCAATGCGATCTATTCATGTTGTTAAAAAAACGAAGCCTTGTATGGGTGCTACAATTATTTTTTGAAGTGAAATGCACAGGTTGCAAACAAGAGAAAGCCGTTGGTTCAGAGAACAAAACACACTTTCTGTACACAGAGGTGGTTGTCACACGTTTGGTTGTGCGTGTGAGAGCAAGGTGGCATTGAATAAAAACGATTCATTTCCGAGAAAGCATAGTGAAAAAGAGCCATGGTCGTTCGTGGAAAGAAATTGTTCGGATAGAGGAAAATGGTTCCTCCGTGCCCGGTACCAGTCACAGAACAAAACGAATTAAGATTTAAATAAAAGTACGGTAGTAATGATGGTGTCGTCTCGAGGTCTCTGTGCGCGCGAGGAGCAAGGGAGAAAACAATAGCAAGGAACAAGAAGGCTGTTTTTTACACCGTGCGGGAAGGAAAAATTCCTTTCGTTCCACCTTGACTCCCCATCGGCTGTAGCCCGACCTCACTCAGGGACAACGAAACCAGACCGTCCAAAGCGAGAGATAGAAAGAGAGAAGACGACAAATCACACGGCAAAAGAGAGAAAACCCTCCGGTTCGAAAGGAAAAGGCGGTTTGTGATACAGGACTCCTTGCACGCACCACTCCGTAGCATGGTTTCGGTCGTGCCCCTCTCAGCGCAATTTCAGTCCCGCGTATTCCTGCTCGTCGTGGTAGTTTGCCTGGACCACGTTCGGCCCAAACTGGCGACCGGAAAGCTCTTGCTCGGCATTCGCGGCGTCTTGGGTGGTGGCGTATTCCAAGAAGATTTTCCCAACGGCACTCGCTTCGATCGACCCCGAGGCCTTGCGCGGGATCTGCATCGACAGGAGTTTTCCGAATTTCTTGACCTCCTCCTCGACCTCTTCCCTCAGTCCGGCGTACTCCTCGTCCGTCTCGAGGTCCTCGTTTTCGACCATGTTCAGCAGCACCAGGATCCGGGTTTTCTGCGTGCCCGGGACCGGCGGCGGAGGGGCCGGGGCGGCTGCCGCACCCGGACCAAAGGCCGCGTTGAGGGCGGCGTTCGCAATGTCGAGGGCCGACGATCCCGGTGGCAGGGCGGCCGCGGCGGCAATCTGTGGCGGTGGGGGAGGCGGGGGCACCCCCGACGAGTAGGCCCCGGAAGGGACCACCGGTGCCCGGGTGACGGGCGTCGGCGGGGGCAGGCCGCCGCCCATCTTGGTAATCGGCATGCCGAACTGGTCGACGTGGGTCGGCGCGGTGGGCATCGGCTTGAGGCCCATGGCGGCGTCGACCAGGTCCTCGATGTCGTACCCGGTGACGATCAACCGGTCTCCGGCCGAAGCGCCGATGGTTGCCGATCCCACCGGCACCGGCTGTGGATACTGCGGGACCGCCGCCGCCGTGGGCTGTCCCCGGTGGCCGGCGACCCGCGCCGTCAGGACCTTTCCTCCCCCCATGTCCATTCCGTTGAGGCCCATGACCGCCACGGGCGTTGCGGCGGGATCCGCGAATTCCACAAAGCAGTAGCCCTTGCTGGTGATCGCGTCCGGCTCGTTCTTGACCAGGTGAAAGGCCTTGACCTTGCCAAAGGCCTGGAGGAGTTCGAGAACCTGGGCTTCCGTGAGGTGATAGTGGAGGCCTGCGTCGGGGTGCGCAGGCAGCAACGGAAAGGCAAGAACGCACGGTGGACGGCGGGGGTGAGAGAGTGCGGCACCGGAGCAAAGCACAAAAACACACAGAACGAAAAAGGCAAGGCAAGGCAGCACAGCACAACACAACACAGCACAGAACAACACACGGTGCCACCAAACACCACTCACCTCCGATAAAGACCTTGTTCGGACCGTCCTGGACGTTGGAGTTGATGATGCCGAGCTTGCTCACGTCGAGGACCGGGACCGCGGACGGGTGGACCCGGGGGGCCATCATGGGGTTGTAGTCGTTGGGCCGCTTGACCTTGACCTTTCCCTTCTTGTTGATGTTGATCCCGTCCAGCGACATGCAGGCGGTCGTCATGGCCACGTCGCGGAACTCCAGAAAGCAGAAGCGCCGCTCGTGGTTGATGTAGACCGACAGGATGGGATCGCTCGGATCGGCCTCCTCCCCGTCCTTCCGGACGGTGGCGAGGGCAATGGCCTCCCTGAAAAAGTCGTGGAGCTCCTGCTCGTGCACGTTGGGGGGAAGGTGCCCGATGTAGAGCCGCCGGGCGTGCCGGGTCTGCTGGGGCACCACGGAAAAGTCCCGGCCGGCCGGGATCCCGGCAAAGTCGGTGGCGGCCGGGTTGGAGGCCATCCGGGCGTCGTTCTCCAGCTGCTTGGCCGTCGGGGGGACGTCGAACTTGGAGGGACGGGCCTTGCGCTTGCGGCGGCGGTCGTGGGTCCATTCCTGCTCCTCCTCGTAGGACCGAAAGACGATCGTGTTGAGCTGCTCCCGGCTGCTGCTGCCGATCGTGTCGTGGTTGCCGCCGTGGTTGCCGCGCCGGTCTCTGTCTCTATCGCGGTCTCGGTCTCTGTCGCGGTGCCCGTCCCGGCGGCCCCCCCYCCGGCCGTTCCAGTCGTCCGGGGGCCCGCCTCTGCGGCGATCGTCGTAGGGACCCCGGCGGCGGTCCTCGTACCGCCGGTCGTAGTGGCCGTCGCCGCCGCCCCCCCGGGGAGGGTGGGAGCCCTGGTAGCCGCCTCCGCGGGGGGCCCGCCCGAAGGGGTCCCGGTCCCGATCGCGATCCCTGTCGCGGTCCGCCGGCGGAGGGGGCAGGCCCGACGGCGGGCCGTCTCCGTTCCCGAGCTGGTTCTGGCGCGTCATCCACGCCGGGGCGTTCGAGATGCCTCTGCCGCGCCCGCTCATGCTGCTGCCGTTTGCTGTGGCGGTGTGTGGTGTGGTGTGGTCTTGCTGTGTTGCGGTGCGGCAATGGTTGCTTCCTGTACGGTACTGTACTGTAGTTTGTGAGGTTCGACTTGTGTTTTGTGGACGGGTTGCTCCAAACAATTACTGTAATGGACTTAGCGATACGAACAGGGACGAACCTCACAGAGGGGGTCACACCGCCACCAGTCTGGTGGTAAGAGTAGGACTCGTACTCGTACTCCTCTCCGGTTCGTTCGTACCTTGTGTCCTACCGTAAAATAAGAGCCGTACGAGTACGAGTAGCTTTCGTCCGGGGTATGCAGAATTATCGTCCGATGCTGCGGTGCTGGCTTGCTGCAAGGGGGGTATTTTGACTGGTCGCTTCCCAGTCGATGGGAAGACGAATCACCTTCGTATTCCTGATTTCTACGTACAGTTTGTACGTGTCCCAAAGGAGCGCTTAAAAACAATTTAGGGCAATTACTTTCGGAAAAACTAGATTTGTACTTCTACGTTACAGTACAGTAAAGCGATACTGTAATACGAAGTACAGTACACACAGTACAGTAAGTTCTAGAGAAAGTAATTTGTACTCGTGCCAGTCGAATAGGAAAATGGTACATACTCCTGGTACACGAGTGAAGGACGTACCGCACATACAGTACTATCTCACAACATCATAAGAACCGTTGGGACGTACTTAAGGTATGATTAGGGGTACGAGTACGTAACCATTACAGATACGTACCCTACTTTACGGTAGTGCGAACAGCAACTCGCACATGCTACATGCTACCGTATGATATGATTCGGTATGCACGCTATTATGGTACAGTACTGTAACACTTACTATGTACAATACGATATCGTACGCGCTGTGCCGGTACCGTACGGTACTGGTAGATCCTAATCCGATCGTCATGCCAACCACGAAGCAATCCTGTTGCGTTGTACAGTACTGTACTTCTATTGTACTTCTTCTGCTACCGTGTTGTTACGATAACCAGTGGGCACGTAGTAAGTACCACAGAGGTACTCGTACCGTTTGTAGTAACGTTGCCGTTCCCCTTCGACCCGGAGGTCCCCACCGATACAACTCGGACGATACGACCGACCGACCGACCGACCGACCCAACCAACCAGCCAAACAACTGCGCCTTCCCGTGGTTTCGGAGCACGACAGAGACGAGACGGAACAGAATGTTCCCACCGAGCCGAACCCACCGGTGGTTCCTCCTGCTGCTGGCGTTCTGGCCGGACCGCCGTGGCCCCGGCCTCTGCTTTTCCTTCCGGCCTCCCGCTCCCGCGTCCTCCTCCCGCCCTTCCACGCGGCTCCTCGGCGGGGGCTTCGGAAAGGACTCCCCCAACTACAAGGCCCCCTCCAAGTCCTACGGCAAGAAGGAGCTGGAACCGATCAAGGACCTCATCGACGAGGAGTCGGGCATGCGGGAATTCTTCGAGTCGAACGAGCCGTGGCAGCCCCTCTTTCGGTCCGTCGCCCCCGACGACTCGGTCCCGGCGATGGCCTTCCTGGGGGGTGCGGCCGGCGAGGGCCTCGAGTTCACCGAGACGAGCTCGCCCTGGAGGAAGCTCCCCGCGGTTCCCACCGACGAGGCCGACATTGCCGTCCTGGGACGATTCCTGGACGCCATGCAGACGTCTCTCATCGAGGACATCCCCGTAGACGAGTCCACCAAGGACGACGAGAACGACCTCCACTTCCTAGAAGAAGGCAGGCGGATGCTGGTCTGCTCGCGGTACCACGTCGTACAGGGCATCGAGAAGGGGTCGGTCGAGACCTTCGACCGCCTCTTCTCGATCTGCTGGTCGGAACTCACGGAACTCCGGGAGGCCGGCGAGGAGGACAGCGGGTCGCTGATCGTGGCGCCGGGCTTCGACTACGACGAGCTGAGGCGGTTCGTCGACATGAACCTACAGCGACCACTCCAGTGGCTCGGCGTCGAGGGCTTCGAGGTTGCCAGCCTGGAAAAGGGGGGACTGGGGGTGATCCGGATCATATACAAGCTGTCGGACATCCCAACGGAACTGCCCGACAGGGGGTAGGATAGGACCGCACCGCACCACGTGCACAAACACCGCACGCCGGACCGGGGCAACTGAACACGACGAGGCGCGGCGGTGTGGAACAACACTCGCGGTACAACACACACTAATACACTACTAGTATAATACTGTTCGTGCATCGCAATACAACACAACACATCTCAATAGAAAACCTTCGGGACGTGACGCAGGAGCATGCATCACACTTCTTTCCAAACTAAACTATAGTCCAGTAGCAGCGAAGGAACTTTCGTGCAAGCAACGGTTTTGCCGTTATATTTGACGATCGTCGTCCAGATGTTTTTCCTTTGGCCGTCTATCAATGCATGTGTTTCGAATCGCTTGTCGGTCAGTTTCGTTCGCTGTCCTACTCAATCCGCTTTTCCGTCTCATTACTCTCCTACCGGCCGGTAGGGGTTGACATACAATCGAACACCTTTTCAACCTCCGGTTGATACTTACTATTTTTGGCAAATAACTATTTTGAACCTTTTCTTGTGTGGGCACATAACCAGATATATCTTTGGCGAGAACATCCATAGGCCAGCTTACGGAACTATCAAACGAACAGGTGAGGAGCAGGAAACTGGCGTACGTACTATCGAAATTTCCGTTGTTTCTTGAAAAGGACGATGTGGCGATTTGAAGGGATCCTCCTTTTAACTGCAATGCTCGCTTGGCGTTAAACTATATAAGTAAAAAAACTTTTTGAGCGCGCGCAAAAAAAACTTGCTAATTTGTTATTATTGTGAAGTCTATTGCGGGACACAAAATTATGGAGAAAGAATGAGAATTTGTGTATCGTCTGGCTCTATTTCTATTCGCCATAATTCTGGAAAATATATTCATGGCTGAACATATAAATTGATTGAAGAAGTAAGACATGCGTTTATCAAGGTAATTAGAAAAAGGAATTACTAAAATTAACCGCCCGGTCGCCCATTTCCCTAAGTGGCATCATGACTAAGACATCTTATTTGCGTTGTGAAACATGAATTGAATACCCTTCATTCATTTCTTGTCCTCAAACTGCTTCCATCTAGGAGGCCCTCGCTCATCTTTTCACAAAACACTCGCTCTAACGAGAGCGGGTGAAAATCAAGTTGGACATATCTATCGGGAGCACTAGATCAATCTACTAAAAGTGGATTGCTCGCATCATCCTAAAAACTTTTGTTAGGGGAAGAACAAAAGAGTGTGGGGGGACTGGAGCGTTGGTTCTGAAATTCAATTTGAAGATGAAGAGGAGAAACGAGGAAAGAAAATCGAGGGTCTCGTGGTCGGCAGCAGAAGATGATGCACTGTTGAAGGCCGTGGCCAAAGACCAAAAAGACCGCGAGGCGGATGGAGGGGACACTGAAGACGCCGATGACGAGGAAGACTGGGACGAAATAGCAAAACACGTCCCTAACAAAACGCCGGTACAGTGCTTAAAACGATACATGGTAATAAACCAGAAGACAAACGACAACAAATCTTCGCCTCAACCCAATACGACAACATCAACAGATACAGCTAAGGGTTCAAAACCAGAAGAAGACAAAAAGGTCGATTCTCGGGAGAAAGAAAAAACAGGGGAACCGGACCCAGGCAATAAGGAAGAAGATGACGTTGAGAAGGAAGCGAAACGTCCTCGAAAAGAGGGTGAAGCAAATACGAGGTGGCCTCAGGATGATTTGGACCTGTTGAAAAAACTTGTAGAGAACTACAAAGATTGTAAGTTTTGTTTCATTCCATTCTCCTTCTGGGTGCCCCATAATGTTTGCAACTGCGTTTTGCGGCATTCACAATACATTGTCTCAATTTCATTTTCAAACCATGTTTCTTCTATTTTTCTAGCTGCGCCTCGTTGGAACGAGATAGCCGCGAATTTTTCAAACAGATACACTGCAATTGATTGTCTCACAAAGTGGCAAACCATTACGAATCCGCCTGTCATAAAAGGAAAGGGATCCTGGACAGCTGAAGAAGACGCAATACTGAGAGAAAAAAGGCGTCAGTATGGGAGAAAATGGGCGAAGATTGCAGCGCACTTACCAGGTCGCCAGGGGAAGCAATGTAGGGAAAGATTTGTTAACCATCTGGATCCTGAACTCAAAAAGGGAGAATGGACTGACGACGAAGAAGCAATATTGATCGCAATGCACGAACACCATGGGAATAGATGGGCGAATATTTCAAAGCAGCTACCAGGACGTTCGGACAATGATGTCAAGAACCATTGGTACTCAACCATACAACGAAAATTTCAACAGCATGGGAAAGACGTACGTACATGCACTAGTTTTCAATTCAAAGATAGTTTCGAGTAGGAACGAGATGTTTACCATACTTTTATTTCCTCTAACATACTTGTTTGTTTTTCTTTTTAGAAACTAATTTCGGCTGCACTGCAGCAGGTGCAAATGATGCAATCAATGGGTACAATGCCAAGTCAACAACCTGCGGCTCAAGGTCAATGGCCAGCTGGTCCATACAATCAAGCCACATCCGGCCATCCTCCACCACCGCCTTATGTGCATCATCCATCGCAATCTACTACACAACCTTACCAACATTCTTCTCCTAGTGCTGGAGTATATCCATACCATCCACCTCCACACGCGCAAGGTCGCCCTCCAAATGCACCTCCTGAAGGTGCACCTTATATGTATCCACATCAACATCAACCACCTCACCAACGTGGTGGCCACATGCCACCTCCTCACGCGTATTATCATCCTCATTATCCACCCCCAACATTGCCTCCTAGGCACGGTGGAGCTCCTCATAGTACCTCGCCAGCTGCCCAAAGGCCTCAAAGGCTAAGTGGTATTGCTGGGTCAGACTCTGCGGGCGCCTCTAACAAAGGGAATCAAGGAACAGAAGGCAGCCCTAAGGATTCGGGAGAGGCTCCAAGTCATTTCCCGATCCAGCAGGAAGGTGGGAACCAAGGGGGAAAAAAATAATGATGCTCATACAAAACACAAACATCGCAACGACCGTAGCATCCTTATGCAAACAGTCAGTTTTACTGAACGAAAAAAAAATACAATTGTCACGAACAGCACTTTGATTCTAATATTATCTAAATATTAAAATTCAAGTACGCAACATTACACTGAATACAATGAAATAGACTTGAACTACCCTTAATTTATAGATGAACAAAAAACTTAAACTATTGGTATATGATCAATTGTAAGAAATATGAATCCCTACCGACTTTGGAGAAGGCTGGCTATCTATCTACCTTTTTTCTTCTTGACGCTTCAGATCCCGTCTTATCTACGATTACGGCGACCTACTTTCGGGAATTTGAGTGGTGTTTTTAGGGTAGCACTCAACTTGTTTCCCTTCCTTGCGATGGTGCAACCAGCATATTTTAGCAAGGCGCTACAATCCTCCACTGGTACTTTCAAGGACTCTGCGATGATTCCAATATCCGCAATCTTCATTGAGGTACCACCTGCAATCATAAAGAGCAAAAGAATATGCATGATCATCTTCTCTTTGTTTTGTTTTGACATTACATAACAAGCGACCTTTTTCCCAGTGTCTGAATCCAATTTCGTTGACGGAATAGCTGTGGCAAACAATTCCAAACATCTGGTTACTACTTCGATTGGAATACCAAAGTGTGAACTTTTCGATTCTGAAACTGCCTCAATTGATCGTTTGCTTTTATTCATTTGATAAAATTTGGCCATCCAGTTGACAAGTATAGCACAGGTTATACGGAATGCAGAACTTTTGGAATCAGGACTAACTTCCTTGACGAGTTTGATGACAAAGTCACACCAATCTCTCTCGAAGATGCTTTGGACAACTGTATCGATTGGATTATCTTGGTGCAGACAAGCGGTGACCTTTCGATGAACTCTGCCCCATGCTTTTTCACCCGCAATGCTCTTTGCATTGAACACTTTGCTTGGATCGGAGGCGTTCTGATTGTATTCCGGTATCAATTGCTTCCTTGCTTCTTCAAGTGCAACCTCGTTCGCGGTCTTCCTTTCTGTATCGGCATGTTTGCTATCTGCGATAGCCTTTTTGTTACTCTCACTCATTGCTTGGCCCTGCATAATTTGATTTACAACTTGGCTATTGGTTCCAGCGCCGACAACGTGGTTGACATCAACTCGGTTAGCTGCTTGCGACTTTAGGACTCGGCGTTTCTTTTGGCTACCAAAATCTTCAAAAATATTTGGTCCGGCTGCGGTGCCAGAAAGATTCGATTCAACGTCACCACTTTCATGTGCATATGTTGGTACGGACTGCCTCAGCGAGAAGACAGTTCCTTTGGTAGCACCTTCAAAAAGTTGAACGGACCCGCGTTTCTTGTCGTAGACACCGACGCAAATCTTGGTTCGACGATCGTCGTAAAGGAAGCCGCGAGCAGAAGCCGAATAGATACAGTGTCTATCATATCCCACAACTGTTCGGCCTCTTTTATTAGTCCCGTTTGACTTCTGCCAAACAAATTGTGGTGCTTTTACTTTATGATTTTCTACTGATTCGGGAAGCCCTCCTGGGAAAGAAACTACGATTGGGTTCGTCGACTCGTCAACCTTGACGATTACTTTCTTTTTTTCTTGAGATCGGGCCATGATTTTGCCTCTGGAATTATTTTTGCCGTGCGATCGATCCGTATTTTAACAACTTAGCGAACCATCTACTTTTAGATGCTTTAGATACTTTTCGACCGATTTGTAGTGGTGCTGTATTTATGATTTCGTAACGGAGATGTTGTTGAAAGCGGATCCATCACCTCTCAATGAAACCAGAATCCCCCTTCACGTGATGTAAAGAAATAAATGGTTGGCCATGAGAAACATCGCGTGACTGAACAATTCGGGAATCTCTTTTCAATACTTTACTACCGTAATGGAATGGAAAAAATAAAAAATACGAGTACGTACTTACCGTAGTAGCGGTATCCTTGGTACAGTAAAGTTGTACTTGAAAGTTTTTCTAATTCTAAATGTGCACACGTGAAACTTACTCCTTCTATCCAAAATCTGAGCCTCACGGTCGTACTATTCGATTCGATCCCAGATCTTTCCTACCGGTATCATCGTATGTACCGTATGGTATTGGTACTCCAAAACCGACGACGTTGAGAACTGTTTTCCCGTCAGAACATTCCAGAAGCTAGTTGCTTTCTTGCCAGAAAATTAGTAGCCCCTGGCGAAAACGGTCTATCCTAATTTCATAGACAAATTCTTCCGAAGACCAACGCACCGAGGCGAAGAATCCAAGATGGTGGTGTTTTTTGTTACAGGCATCCCCAGAAGATCGATACGAATCTACCGGGGTCGAAGAATTGATTTTCTACGAAAACGATGGCATTCGAGTTCAAGCCCTCAAGCTTCCAAAAAGCCCTCGCCTAGTGAAATGGTACAGCCTAAATCATTTGCGATTGGTGCTCTTGCTGGCACATGCGGTTCCCTCGCAGGAATGGGAGGAGGTTTTATCATGATCCCCCTCATGACTTCGAAACGTCTGATGAGCCTAACACAACATCAAGCACACGCAACTTCTCTTTTTGCCGTCGCAACTACGGGTACCGCGGGGGCGCTCAGCTACTCGGGTCAAGTCGATTACGAGGTTGCTGCTGCTATCGCTTTTTGTGGGATGGCAACTGCCAGTCTCGGGGCATACGCGTCGTCCAAGATGTCTCAGGCTGCACTAAAAAAAGGTGAGATCAACCCTTTCAGTTGTCTTGATTTTTTCCCTTCTGTTTGTTCGGTAGAAATCCTCGGTTCTTCCGAAAGTTTCTCTACAACCAAAAGAATGCCCCAGGGCTCACTATGTTTTGCTATGTTGAAACCCTTGTGGGCAGCTTTGGGAATTTTTATGCTTTTGATTGCCCCCACGATACCAGCGAAGGAATATTTGCTTTCTAAGAAAGAAGCGACAGAAAGATCCAGAGAAACTTCCTTTGTTGGGCGGTATATTGTTCCAGCAGGAATCGGGTGCTGCTCCGGATTTTTGGCAGGCGTTTTTGGTGTCGGTGGCGGCGCCGTTGTGGTTCCAGCACTGAGTTTTTTTACGGATATGGACCACTACCAAGCTCTGGGAACCAGTTTATGTGGTACGTAGGAACGCGTTTGAAGAAATAATATCATACGGCCGTTTTATGGAGGATGAATACATTTTATGTTTACAAAAGTCATGATTCACTCTCAACATCTAACACCCTCCTCCTCAACAATAGCCATGGTGCCGACTGCAGTTGTTGGAACTGCTACACATATGTCTAAAGGTACTGTCGTAATGAGAGTAGCTCCTGCTTTAGCTGTCGGGGCGTTTTCTGGTGCCTATTTTGGAGGAAAACTTGGTCTTACGATACCGGAACAACAATTGAAATACGGCTTCAGTGGCACCATGGTAGTTTTGGGCCTTCGCACTCTTCTCAAATTATGATAGTCGTGATTGTCTAAAGGTAAGCTCATTCTTACCACGTTTTTTACAAGATGAAATCCGAATAAACTAATCGGAAACTACCATAGTTCATTCAAATTGAAAATGAAGCCATAATAGTTATTAGGTTCAATCAAAAGTGCAGTAGTATCTTTCTTCGAATTTGGTATGAGTAGTGTTACTGCCTAAAGCTCGGAAAATACGCTATCTTCGAGTCGTCGATGAGAACTATCGCACATCACATCTGCCGAACAGGGAATTCTGAAAATGTAAGAACAAGTTTTGGGCCCGAGAACTCCACAATTACCTCTATATGATGAGAACGTAATTCTGGTATTACTGACAGCGACTTCAACTTCAGCGGTTTGAGTTATAGCATCGCATGCTACTGCCAACGTTCCAGGGTAGATTGCGCCGGATGACAACATCTTGAGAGATAGGCACTGTTTGCCCAATCCATCCCCCCTATCATAATACAAGTCAATATTATCAATGGTTGTCGGCCAGTTGTTTTGAAACGAAAATCGCACTTCATTGGATCCGGAATCATCTAGTGCTTCTATGGTTAATGGTTGGGAAGAAAGTTCACACATTGGATCCCCACCAGTATCTCTTTCGATAGTCATGGCACCGTCGTAACAGTCAGGTGTTCTAGTAAGATTGTCAGACGCAGAATATACCTCAGGGAGCGACTCCGAAGCTTCAGTAGATGGCTGAATGCTCTCGCATATTGGTACACAAGGAAGCTACGTGTAGATTCATTCAAAAGTTGACAAAAGTTGATTCAGAGGATAGTCAACAGATCAATTGACCAACAACAGATTTTACTTACCTCAAAGTAATATGCAATTATACCTTCCTCATCACYATCAGGCGGTCTGCATTCCTCACATTCCTCCAATGTCAGCTCATCATCAAAATAAATAAAAATGCCAACATCAGTCCAACCATCATAGCACTCAATCTCTCTAGTCAATGTGTCTCTG